TTCCAATCTTTCTCGAAGTAGTAAAGCCTAATTTTGCGAATATACGGATGGCTTTTCGATTATATTCTTGTAGAGGAAATCAAGTAGATCATTTCTAGAGAAAACCCGAACTCGAAAGTCAAATTCTTTCAAGAGAAAAAGAGCCCCGAAAAAATCCGCAATAATTATGCATCAACCTAATATATAGTACTACCTCCATTGCAAATGAAAAACCTTATTTGTGAACTCAGCTGCAAGTGCATTAAACACTGATTCAGCAAACTTCGTTCATTGTCCCATTTTTCAGATATGAGCAGTGTACACCAAGAGCCACTACGATCACCGAAGAGGCCCGAATGTTCAGCTACGGCCCTGAAAAAAACCCGGTTACAGGGCTGTTGTCAACCAGAATTTCTCTCGCTGAGAGGATCAGACGGCGAGGCAACTTCTGCGTCCGGTGTTCACCAGCGGGAGGAGGGCGTGTCCCCTCGTTGTCCGTACTCTCCTACAGAGCGCTCTTTCGTCAAGAGTAGACATTCGGGTGGGTCCAAGAATAGGAGAATTTTCAGAAAGACAGACTTCTTCCAACTGAGGAAACTTCTTATTTCGGAATTCAGATAGTCTGAGAGAAGCAAAGGCTTGATCTCTATCCAAATATAGATAAAACGTCTGTATAGAACATCTACACCGCGAAAAATCTATGTGGCTAGTAGAAAACCCAAGTTTGCAATCCATTTGCTACTTTGTTTTATGGGAATCAGCGCTGAAATTAACAATATCGTTTGAAGAATTGCAACACCATTGATTCGATCTTAACCCGACAGTGTTCGCTAAGTATCTTATTGTATCAATGATAAGAGGAGGGATTGAGGAATGGCCACCTCTTTCGTCTGCCCTCTATCCTCTTCGCGGTGAAATGCCTATTTGGGGAGACGCAGAGAAAACGACAAAAACGCTGAGTCACTACACACGCGGTTGACAACGGTCCTGTAACCAAAAAAAACCCAGAAAGTCTGAAGTCACACCTACAAACTCGGAAGGCCTGACATATGGTGAGCGGACATGATTCGAATAAAAAATATGTTTCTCATCTTTATAAAATGCTGGAGGAGAATTGATCAGGTACTCTGCATACTCATTGAAAATGGTGAACCTAAAGTGTCAGGTTACCCTCAATAGGGAAACGTTATGGTAAGGCACGCAATTGGCTCATGTAACAAAAATCTCGCTCATATGAGAAATCACAGAAAACAGCTTTCTTTACCTTGTCAAGAGACATAGTTTTATTATCATTCAAGCAGTTAGTCTTTCTTTGTTCAGTTTTTATCTAATATTTTTTGATTAATATATTGTGTAGTTAATAAACTGAAATTGTCCGCGAATGATCAGCTTGCCTTCGATCCCATGGTTCCGTAAGGAAGTCTTCACGAAGTGGTCAACAAACATATTTTCGTTCATCTGATGTAATAATGTACTTGCTACTGGACAACCGTAGAGATATGCCTCCGAAACACAGTGATGGCTGCAGCGTTTTTTGCTGTACGTTCGACCTCCCAATCATTATAATCAAGCGGAAGTGTCTACTGAAACACGATAAAAAAGAGAACCACACCTACGAACTAGGATGAAGTATCTCAAAATGAGGTATATAATCATTAACTGAAAACTAGTTAATCAACCCCTTTATAACTCCTGTACATCGATAGGAGAGCCTCATCTGGCAGATTCCAGCTCCTCCCAATGTTTTCGTTCTTCTTAGTTTACCGAGTGTTTAGAGCGCTACTATATCAACGCTTTTACAGTGCCTCCGACATACATACACTGCTTTGTTTTTCCAGTGGCTTCGAAGGGATGGAATGGGCTCCTTGTCCTAATATGTAAGGACTAGACCATCTATGGTTGAGTTGTCATCGGAACGTGGGAGATCATCCACTTGCGAAGGTGCAAGTGAGTGCTATTCTCATAGTGTTTATCTCTTGACGAGATATATGTTGTTATACGATGGGCCGCCACTGCGAGGGATTGAGATGCACGTGGAGGGTCAGGGACGAGACGATCGATGCCCAGCCGGAGGCAATCGGTGCTCCTCTCCTCACATCATCATGTTCTCCATAGAATCTCTCTATGTTTCCTTGGTTTTCCGTAATCATACTGTCAGTAAATCTTGCTGAAAAAGTCTACCTCTCCGTTTTATTACTGTTCATATCTTGGCAGTTTTTAGATTACACCATGAATAATTCCACAAGCAACTATTCCGCTCGACTGCGCAGTCGCACAAAGCAGCCCGTCTACACTTCAGACAAAAGAGCCAAGTTCGCACAAAGAGAGAACAAAAAGTAAATATTTCCTAATCCTAACAGTTTCGTCTTGCTTCGGTTACTACGTCTCTCTGGAAATTGGCCCTAATATTCATTATCGCAAAATCATTTTCAACCGAAGTTACTGTGACAAATTGGAGATGCTTTTATTAGAAATTTGTTTATTTTGAATTACACCTGAACGCCTTTCGACCCCTGAACCTTCCTATTGGTAAGTCGGCATTCTCATTTTCGAGCAGATTGATGAGCCTGTTCTCTGAGGATATTTTAGCCTTTTTTAAAATTGCTATGCAAAACTAATCCTTGGAGTTTCTTGTTTCGATACAAATCAGGCCCTGCATTTTTGCATGATTTTTTTGAATAAAGCATGATTTTGCAATCACCATCACAAGAAATGAACTTCTCAAATGCTGTCGTAATGAGACGCAGAACGTGACCAGTGGTCGTTTCACGAACCCCTTTCTGACTGGCTTAAATTTTCGCTTAAAGCTTAAGTAGTAGTTCTCACCATATAATAAAAGTCAACATTCGAACATCTTGTTACTTGGCTCACTGAACAGTGAGATAGTCACTATCTCGGTAACACCTTTCTCAACATCCTAGAGCTCAAAGTATGGGAGATCCTTTTTTAAGTAACTTCGCAACCTACAAGATTATTTTTTTTGGTTCTGGGGAATCAGGGCAAGGAATTCTTCTCATATGTGCAATAGCAAACATATTCCCAAAATTCCCTTCAAGCTCTACAAACTTTGAATTGATTGATTGAGGTCATCTCGTGATTTTAATTGAGAAGCAAGTACTTCTGAAATAGCGTCATCATCGTCGAATTCTTGGTAATCTAATACATTACGTACTACGTACTTCGTGATTGGCTAGCAAATACAGTCATGAGCCTTGTTTTTTTTGTGCTTTATTTACTAACTTTGATTTCCTTCTCCGAAGTTCCAGCTGAATTAGTGGACCGGGGGCGACAGTCTTTCGCAAAAAAAAACCGTGGTGCAAGGGCAATTACTATCCTAGCGCTCATACCATAACTAGTTACAGTAGGGAATGAGACTGGTCGCAAATACTTCCCTGAAGATCTATAGCCTCCTCCCCAAGTAAATTTTCAATAGCCATAAAACAAGCGTTTGAATTGTAACTTGAGCTCTAACAGAATAACAGAGCACCGAGGTCAGACAGAATTCCACGGGTTTCATTTAAACACGTGATAAGAAAATGATCTCAATGACAGAAACAGCTTCGCCATGGCGGGCAAATTCATCCTTATTCACTTTCTCTCTGATAAGATCATCTTTAGATGGATCCGGTTCGTCACTGTGCTCGGATACATTTTCTTCGTTTCCCTACCGGCAGTATCTCTTAGCGTCTACTATATCTACATATGGGATCCGGGATACATTAACAAGGTCACTAACAACCTCAAATGCCTATACCTATGCTTTGATGACAAGCATTAGTTTTTTGTTTCAGTTTCCGCCGGAAATCGCTAACAGCTCGTTTCCAATCCACAAAGCTACTATCCAGTCGACGAGGCTCGAGAGAAATGTGAATGCCGTGATCATGACCTCGCTGAAACCTCCAGCTCAAGAGCAGGGAGCACCGCCTCTACCGTCCGAATCTCCACATAGACCTGATTTGGCTGCAATACTGGCTGAAGGTTAGCCATCTTCATAATATTTCAGAGAATGCTTACTCAGTCATCGGAGAGCTGAGGAAAGTCTTTAACACTGACTCAGAAAGCGTACTGGGCGGGTGGGTACTATGCTATCGTGTGAAACTGGCACGGTTTGGTTTTCTTGTTTTTGTTACTGATGTCCGAAATTTTATCGACCAACTGAATTCCACAAAAACGATACATGACACTTACATGTATTGTGCATGTAAGTATGTCTCTAATTGAGGAAATAAAACGCTAGCGTCTCGGGTGGATTCGCTGCTCTGTTCCAAATTTCTTCACACAGCTATTCGAGTACAAAAGTGAAGTTATTCTGGATAGAAATGTGACGCAACTTTTATGTGTGCTTTGATTATTCCCTGATATTTGCCTTGTCTGCTTCCCTAGCACTGTCCATATCTTGAAGCCGGAGCTTGAAGAACCCTGTAATTTTATGAACTTGTGGATTCAAGAAAAGCTTGATCTGTAGGAGCATACATATAACACTGTTTCCCACCTCAATTTGTAAATGTAGTAGTCGTTTCGTAATCATTGTAACCAGCTTCGTAGCTTCTCCATTCTAATTCATAGATTTTGCAGTCAGTTTCGTATTTGTGAACCCCATTTTGTAAACTTGCATTCACTTTTGCTAATGCTGCATCCAATTTCTTAAACCTAACATTTTTATTACGAAATTCCCCCTTCATTTTACCTCGAGTGAATTTTTACTTTATATTTCATTCAGAAATGCCGCCAACTCCATTTAAATAGTGATTGGACTCCCATTTCTGAAACTGTAGGATCGAACATTGTTAATCACCAAAACGGTGCTTCCGATAATTTCCGATGATTTGCTCCTCGGAAACCAGAAACACCTGGTCATCAAAGGCATCGAGAAACTGGCAAAAGCGTACTTTGCTGAAGACGGTTATTCTCAGCGTACTCACTGATTGTTCATGCCCCAGCAGATGGAGATGTGCTTTATTTACAGCCCTGGTGCTATTTATACGGCTGTCAACAGACCAGAAATTAGGAATTTTGCAAAATCGAATTTTGAACTTACAAAGTTGATTGCAATTTTACTATATATGGCCCACAAGTGCGAACTATACGAAATTGACTGAAACCTTTATGAATTGAGGAGGAAACCCTTAACCACGAAGTCAACATTGGCCAATACTACCTTGCTACTCCTGTACAAATTTCATAAATGCATTGTATACCATTCCAGGTTCAAAATCAATGGAATCTTCGGCAGAAATCATTAAGAGTCCTGTGGGAGATTGACAATACAACGAAACATGTCTTTCTGCTAAATTTTTGGAACTTGTCGGTTCCAGAAACTTGTAAGGATCCGACTGAGGTCCAATTACTTCTGTTTGTTCATTCCTTATCACTTACCATCTGGAGGAATCGTCCCTCTCGGTGCTTTGTATGTACGTGTAGTTACATTGAAACCGAACTTGAAAATGTGCTTTTACACATATGGCAATATTTATTATGAATTTTTCGCTTAAAAATATAAACTCTACTTGTACACTGTATTCTGATTCCAATACCTTGTCAGTGTCCAAATACATTATGCCTACCCGCATGAAACCGACAAATGAAGCAAATGAAATAATAATAAAACATGTGGGCACACAAAATGAGACATTATGCATTCGCGACGAGGGCCAAACAAGTGCAGCTCGTCGGAGAAAATAACGCAATATGTAGCAGTAACAACACAATGGGCTATCCTTATAGGGGACGCAAGAATTATCAATTTTTCGAAGAAGCATGAAGTATGATGGATTCCTTCGCAGTGGTATCGACTTGGAGTCATTTCTTTGCAAATGTTCGTCTTGACAGAGAACACTTCCATGAGGGAATGACTTAGCGCTAATACTAGGAAATGAGCATTTGCGAGAAATCAATTGGCATTTGGCATTATTTGAAAATCAGAAGTGTTCAGCTACTCCTCTACAAATGACTTCAACATTACAAGTTTAATATGAAAGTAAGCTTGTGCGCAGATTACCTTCCCATTAACATTTTGTGTGCGAGTAACCCATGGCGTTTAATTAGTGACAGCAAAAAACTGCGACCAAATAGTTGAGGGGGTCGGTAATGGGTAAACCACTGAAGACCGGAACAAGAGAATTCGGAAGCAGTGTCAGCCGCATCCACCTTCCTCCTTTTCTTCTGTAAACACTGAATGCCGTTGCTTACAGATGTGTGGCATTCGATTCTGGAGCACTCCTCACGGCTTGATCATCATAGGTCACAGTTTGCCTATACTATGCTTTGTGCGCTATTCACACCCTTAACGAGGAAAAAGTCAGAAACCTCTCAAAATAAGGCTGAACACTTCAAATGTAGTGTAAAGATCAGCGAAGTATTTGGACGACAGAAAGCTGTAGCATGACTAGTTGGTGAAAGGTGCCACGAACAATACAAAGCTAGACCGAAAGCAAATCTGGCAATTCTGATGCTGGGCTATTTACAAAGGCAAAATCCTGAGAGTGGCCCCCGTGTTGCCGTTCTCCAGCACATTTCAAGCAAGCCGCAATTTGAGCAATGCAGCATACCACAAAGGTGAGCAAAGTGTATTTCTAGAACGACTGCAGCAGAAGGCTTCTGTCGCTTGTCGTCAGACAAATTCAATTTTTCCGAAACTTGGGGACTCAGCTTCGATGTTTGCGATCGATTCAGCCGTCATTTGAGAGTTTTCGATTAGAGTCATCCGTCGCGACATCATTTTACGAGTCCACAGTTGAGCTGAAATCATGGATTAAGAGGAGTTCAACAAGACAAATTCTGAGTTAGGGGGGGGGGGGGGGCAACGAATTAGTTTTTACAGTGATGAATTTATGTAATTATCAACATTTTACCACTTGCACAGTACCCACCCTGATTGGTCGAAAAATCACAAGAAAATGCGGTTCCGCGTTTTCTTCCTTCTGTAACCAGGTTTGCTTTCACTTTTTTGGTATACGAAGGTTGCCTTTTATATTTCGGGATTAGAAAACAATAAATAATAACATCAAAAATTGCTTTACTGTCTTTAAAAATTCTATTCATTAAGATCTAAACACTTTTGCATGCGCTCGAACCAATTTTTGAAGCACTTTTGCCACTCTGATTGAGGTAACTCTAAAACATGTATTCTGAACGAGTCAACCGCTCTTCAGGTGTCGAAAAACGTTAAACTCCCATTTTATGTTTTATGTACGCGATAAGAAGAAGTCACCCGAGGACTGGATGGCTGATGGCTCATTGAATCGTTGTTTTGAATGCTTGAAAATGCAAATGTTCGAGCCGATGTGTAGGAGCTCGCATTGTCGTGGTGAAGAGTGATCCGTCTTCGGCAGTTGGTTCTCCTGATTTTTAGAGGACAATTGGCGAATAAGTAGTTGTATACCACCCAGAATTGACTGTTCTTTCTGATCTAGTGGCACGGCACATGTCTAGCTTTCCCAAAAAAACAGGTGACCACTTGCTTGGAAGTGCTTCGTGCGCGGACAGCTTTTGTTGGATTTTGCCCATCTCGAAATACCCATACGATCGACTACTTTTCACTTTCGGGCTCATACGCGTAAACCCATGATCCATCACCTGTCTCGATGTCATAGACGTGCTTCGAAGCACCGCGACCAATCAACACGAGCCTTTTTTTTTGAGGAATTGACAGATTTTGTGAGATAAAATTTTTTACAGTCAAATGTTCATGCAATATTGAATGTGTGCTGGTCCCTTTAATGCCTAAGGTCGACCCAATCTCACAATATGTAGGTCATATGACGATCGTGCAATATTAGTTTGCGTACAGCACCGGAACAACAACTGGTTTTGGAGACCTCCACGAAATTCGTCTTGGAGTGAACTACGACCTCGGTTGAATTCACCATACCATTGATAAGCACTGGTCCTTGATGGAGCTTCATCGCCAAAGGTGGAGGGGGAGGTTAAGGGGAAAGGAGGTTTGGACTAAGTGGGGGTGGAGGCGCCAAGGGTCTGAGTAAATTTTCTAAGTTAGTGTAAACAACATAAGGAGCGCTCATATGTCAAAACGTTCTGAGTAAGTATAACCTCAAAAAAGTCAAACTTTACGATAGAACTGTCCCAGATTGCAACACTAGGGTTGCTCAATCCCGAAATATAAAAGGCAACCCTCATAATATGCCACATGGCCCAACTCGATAGTCGATTTCTGCAAAGCGGTGTCCAGAAATATTTTAAAAGCTCAATTTTGAAGTCCTCAATCCATCAAAGTTCCCGAGGATTCGTCATTAGCAACGATGCCTGCTATAATTATAACCAGAAGGCACTCTCCTCTATTAAAAGTAGTCAGTGAAATGTGAAGAAGCTGATATTCTCCAACATTAGATGAAAATTAGACTATGACACTTCTCAGATCTTTCTGATCGTTTCTACACCAGTTTTCTTTAAAATGGATGAACTTGACCATGTGCCATATTCAAATCACACAGGCTTTTCAAAATGAAAGACAGCAAAAATACGTTGATTTGTATTCTCTGTAAATGGTATGCCCATCCCAATGGAAGTTGCTTCAATATGTTTGAAAATTGTTGGCTTGAGGACAAGAAAAAAGGTTATATAAAATCCAGCACCCGTTATGTTTTTGCAAATGGCATATGTTTCCTGCTTTTTCAAGTATGATTTCCGATGTTCAGAGAACGGCTACGCACTATAACGAGAGTATCCATGCTGAACTCTTTATGAACGATCACCGACTGCAAAAAATCATAATTTATCTAGACCCTCGGACTATATATAGGCCCCCCATATTGCTCCAAAGCACGGGAGACAAAATCTTGATTTTTTCATTCGAAGTAATCATTCGAAAACCTACACAGTTTGGATAAGTTTTCAAGAAGCCACTGAGTCATATGAAAACCGATCCACAAATTTCCCTCGAATCCACGCCTTCAGCATCGCTTTTCTAACCTTCGCATTCTGTCAGGTACCCAACTGGCTCTCCGCTCACCTCACCTTACCTCACCAAGACATGGTAGTGTCCCGTTACCCGCAACCTCTGTGGCTCTTTCAGTAATTACCAAGGGAGTTTCTTCGCGCCTCGACAACACCATACCTAAAGATGGTGCAGCAGTCGTAAACTCTTTAACAATCCACACATTTAATTGCAACCGCTACCTATACTGACTGATGAGCTTGAAAATGGTGCAAATAGTCAACATTACACGAATTACACACGAAAGTAGAAGTGAAAGTATGACTGATATCGGTCGTAACCAAACATCTTGTTTTGCAAAAGTTCTGTCTCATTGAAAAAGGTCGTGTATAATGGCTGCACCAATTGAATCAGAAGCGCTAGTTTCCAAGGAAGTCTAGTTGAAGGCGCGCGTCGCAGCATGTTCAATCAACAAACTGTCTTGACCAACTGAACCGGAGAGTCAATTTGGTGGCCGGGAGAATGGGAAGGGAAGAAAAGGGTGCCGAAGGTGTATGTTCCTCGCCCACTGGAGAATCTCTAGCGAGGCTACGTAAGACGACCCCAGGTGGAGGAATGGGGAGTAGGCTGCTGACCATCGTCAGTGATTTCAATGTCAAAATTGGCTCTAGAGGTACGGCTAGGAGCAACATATCGGGACTCACGGAACGAAATGGGATGTACAGGGTGAAAAAATGTCCGAGTTGTCACGTTGATCCACACTTTCCATGGTAACTCCCTGTTTCAAAAGCCGTCTCGTTTGCAGTGGACATACCTGGTGTTACTTGGTGTACAGTTCGATGGTAAAATAGATCACATCATCATCAATCGTTACCCACTCATTTGCGATAGACATTGGAGCGAAATGTAGAAAGTACCATAATGAAATAGATCACATCATATTCAATTAAAAGTTTTGCGTGACAGATGTCGCCTTCGTGCCCACGTCCTACACGGGATCGGACCGTCGTCTTCTCTGCGCTAGGTTCTATTTTCATTGCGCAGAATTCAGGGGAAGCCCCAAGACTTATCAACAGGGATCCCTTCCCTTCCTTTGCGGGTGTCTGGGATTATTTTGTTTTTGAGAACGTAGATGAAAAACACAACCGAGCCGTCGAGCATCTTCACGATAGTGCTCGGAAAGCAGCGAGTCTACAAATAGCCCGAGGACGTCTCTGTCCGAAGACTCTTGAGCAGATACATCAACGTGAAATCGCGCGAACTACAGGCAATCACCAACAAATGTTCGAACTGCTGAATCCAGAAGCGATGAAGGATGAATTATGGACGAAGTCGCCCAAGCCGGAAAGAGAATTCGCAAAGTCAAGTCCCTCAGAGCTTCGAGCTTCGCCCAGACGGAACAGTTACTGCTTCTCGAAGCAGAAGGTTATCTGTTGCTCAAGCTGGAACCTCTTCGATAGCCACTTGTACCTGCCTACCTACCATCCCAGACAAAGCGGATATGTCGTCCCTTCAATTCTCCCTTCCGAAATTCGACATTCCATTGCTTCGATGAATGATTGTGAGGCGCCCGGTCCCGATAGGATGAAAACAGAACATCGAAAGTTTTCCACCGTTGTCATCAGAACTCTGGCTAAATCTCCATGCGGTACATGTCTTAATGCAAAGCGCCCACGTCGTGGAAAACTGGTAAGACTGTGTTAACTGTGTCGATTCCGACAATATTGGTAGCCTTCGCCCAATCTGCTTGCTGTCTGTAACCTAACTTTTCACATGCGTCATCCCGCGTCGACAGGATGGGGGACGGTACGAACGTGCGTCCGAGGGTGCGCGCGGCAAATTGCGCGGCGAAGTTCGTNACGAACTTCGCCGCGCAATTTGCCGCGCGCATCCTCGGACGCACGTTCGTACACATACCCCGACAGGATTGGCAGAAAGTCAGGTGAAGAACAGTCATACGAACAAGCATTGTTTCGGAGAGGATTTAGTACAGCCGATCTCATCCACATTATCACAAAAGTCATGGAAGTTTCGTGCAAACACAGGAATTCATTATGTCTGACCTTGCGATTTGAAGAAGGCCTTTGGTACGGTCGAGAGAGAAGAAGTGATCGAAGCTCTGAGCAACCAGGGCATTCCTGGTCAACACATTAGTATGTTTCGTGAGTTCTACGACAAATTCACGTCCATGATTTCACTATCTTATGAGGAAGACATTGTCATCGTCAAGAGAGGGTTTGCAAGGGCGATACCATTTCACCCAAACTTTTCAACTTCAACCAACTACCGCTTTCAAGAACACCATGCGTCACTTGGAATGGGGACTAAGGAGTGGAGGTCGACGATCGCTACGTACATCACCTCCGCTTTGTAGACGACATCGTGCTTATAACACCGAATAAATATGAGTGCATAGGTGTTGAGAAATTGTCAGCGACAAGGGGGAATGGGAAAGGGAGGAGGGGTTGCAGTGATCCCTAGTCAAACAATCACCAAACAGCGAAACTCCATCCGGAAGTATCTATCCCTGTCCACATTCCCTTCGAAGCAAGATTATACATATTCGTGGCCATCTACATCTACAAAAACCGAATACGGGTCAGGCCTCGGTATGGAAATTTCATTTGCGCACTAGAAAAATTATCAGCGTTGTGGATTCATCATCTCATAAAGAGCCATTCAGTCAGCCAAAAAATCCCAAAAAAAACCCTAGAAGAACGAGCCTATCACAATCACGTAGCCAGCTTACCCATTAGATTTTTTATATAATTCATTGCAAAAGGGTACTGTCTGACATGAACCATGCACAGAATACTTGTTTAGATAATTGTGAAGAAGGCGCCGATGGCAATCCATAAATTCTAACGATTAATTCTGTAAAAATGAGATCCCACCCCCTTGTCCACGGAATGAGAAAGTGGAAAAGGGATGTGAACAAGTTTTCGGCCACAATAACTGACATTAGAAGTTTCCCATGTTGGATCGCATCAATCACAACGAAAAGCCTCGAGCAAAAAGAGTTAAATGCACCTGTGGGCATAGCGCATGAAGGAATATTCGTTTGAGATTTTTGTCGTACTCAACCGAAAAAGCAAAACTCACATAGAAACTGATACATCTCTTTCCGAAGCAATGGCTGGCAGGTGATGTAAATAGGAAGTCTGAGGCAAGAGGCGATGACAGTGAGCAGTGAGAGCAGTGCTACAGAGAGCACATAGAACGGAAGATATCTGAACAATGAATTGTCCAAAGTCAAGAATGAACAGTCCTCACGGGGTTTACGAACTCACTTCTGAAAAAGGCTGGCTGCATCGAGGTACTCCCAAATCGTGATAATTACCGATAGCAGATTGCTCATCAAATACGTACACACGAGGATAATAAGTGTGCGCGTAGCAGCGCGTATTCGAGCCTGAATTGTGAGTGTTGTACTCATTAATTTGCAGCTATCGCTACCTAATGTTCTATATCAGAACGTGACAGCAGGATGTTACCAGTTCCACGCAACGGTCGCCTCCTGATATTTTTGCTTTAGCATGTACTGTTACATTGCTGTTCAAGTGCCTATGGTGTGAGTAGCTGCAAATTTGTAACCAGGTAAAACAGTGCTGCTCTAAATGTGCTCGACTACACTATGCAGCCAAATTCCAGTTCATTTCTCGAAAATTTGGCGAAAAAAAGCGGAGGTTGTTGCCCCCACCGCCGGGTCAGAGACTGCTTTCATAGTCCACTGGCCGACCGGCGAACGAGTCGGCGAGCGAGCGCGCCGGCCGGCCGGCGGACTATGAAAGCAGCTAAAGCGTTCTTCGGGTACTCGCAACCACAACATTTTTCGAAGAGATTTTTACGTCATAATAGTACCTGTGTTAAATGTTTTCAAAAAGCGACTGCGCGTGGACTGGTAACATCTGAGAAAAATACCTTTTTCTGCTTAAAACTCTGTTTGTCTTCAACAAGTGTGCTGGATTTCGACAGGCTGGAGTGAGCTTGTAATCTGTAACCAGAAATACATTGAAGATGATAATCTATTAAAAGGTGCAGTACACGATAATTGTGATGCAACTTTTTCAAGTCGAAAAGCGAAGAATTTGATTGGGTATAGGGCATCGGCGGTGAAGGGAGCGAGAAAAATTTACCTCAAAAGCGGTGAAAATAGGTGGTTGTACGAGATTACTATGTCGAAATTGACGTGAAAGGGGCATTTGGAAGAAACTCCAGTTTTGCAATAGCGCAAGTAGCTGACCACATCAAGCCAAAACTGTCCAAACCGTCCCTCACTGTCGCTATAGGCTATGTCAAGTTGTTCGAACTTTCTAGATAGGTTCCATCGCATGATGAATAGTACAGCCTCTACAATGCCGTTGAAACTCGTCTTAGCACACAGACGGGACAATCTTCAGACCTTTATAACACCCTATCTTTGCCGTTTTCCCACCTGATAGTGCTACCAAAGGTGTACGTGGGGACCACAGATTACTACTAACGGGATATGTCATAAGCCATTTTAAGCGTGAACTGTGCCCTGGGGATGTGAAAGGGATAGAGTGGACCAATCTATGAGGTCACTAATCTGATCATCGAACAATGAGAGCGAATCCGAGAAGCCCTCTTTCACATACTACATGCCTTCAACTCAACGGCATGCAATGGCTCGAATGCATTACAGGAAAAGGAATAAAAAGATGATGCGTTCGTCCATGGATCAATTCCTTGGCACGATCACCTTTAGAGTCGCAAAAGAGACTATCTTTTTTAACTCCCACAACTGTATTTATACCTTGGTTCAGCTTCATAGCCGTATTTTCACGCTTTTGGCCCCCTAAATGTTTCTTTGGGAGAACGTAGGGTTGAAGATTCGCTCACTCACGGTCTGTAGGTAGGGCTAAAAGATCATCCGTTTGACCTTATAATTCCGCTTTTCCACCCACAAGGGCAGAAGGATTCCCGTCCTCCCTCTGGTTAAGAATTCACATGAATAAATAGGCCTAGTGCTCTCTGGTTCAGTGATCTTATCGGATGGAAGCCTCAAATTTGCATGAAGCCTTTCTCGACAATGAAGAGAGGCAGTGGTCCGCGAGGTGAATAGTTGACGACAGTGAAAAGAAATATTCGCGCATTGAGGTATCCTCGCCTCATGTGGAATCGCTGAACAAGCTGCCCATGACTTATGGATGTGCATCATTTATGCAGGTGTTCTTCTAGTCTTACATCTTGTCTGGGGTTTTGATTCAGAAGCGATACAAAGGCATTCATGCAGAAATAACAGAATATATGGTAATGATGCGCTTAATTTTGTCAAGACCCACACGTCCTCTGGAAACTGATGAAGAAATTTCTTGCAGACCAAATTTTATTTGAATAATGAAGCGCTAAACAAAAAAAGTTACTGTCAACTTCATTAGTTCCTACACCCCTATCCGCTGTGGATCTCGATAGTCAAAATCTGGACCGTACTTGTACTGGAACGTGCTTCTTGTTTTTGTTATCGCAAATTGAATCAAATGGGAATAAGTAAGCGGAAGAGGGCTGGTAATGGGCAGTCATAAACCCATCCGTGTTCCATTCCATACAGGCAAATGCTTGTTCTTATTGTAGATCGGCCATATATACTGAGCGGAACTTGAAGGAAAGGCCGTGCACAAGCCACACTACGCAACTGTTTTAGTAGGTATCGTGGCCTGTTCACTAGACAGCGGCTTTGTCGGTTACCTTTACTTTTCTCCCAACTTCGCCTCGCTTATGGAAGCAATTCAATGAAAAAATATTCATAGGAGTATTTATAAACGCAGGTTGAGGAGATACGGTGTTCTTCAAAGAATTTGAACCTGTTTCCAAACCGTTGTTAGACGTCACCCAAAGGTTGCACATATGACTGCTTGGCGAATAGGGATTTATTTTCCCAGGCTCCTTTAGTAGGACCTTTTCACTGGTAACTTTGTAGAAGGGTCTTCTTAAAAATGGCTGGCACTCAAAGCGGTCCATAAAGTAGGGACGCGGTCGTAGTTCATATATACAAGAAATTGCAATTTTCCGACTAGTTTTTCGAGGTCAGATCTAACTGGTAAAGAATGCCGCATACCGTCGGCCAAAACACACCAGGGATGCTCTTGACGTTTCTACCGGTACAACCAGCAGGAACGGTAACTAAGCTTGTTCTCTCTCACGAGAAAAGAGGATAGTACTTTAGCCGGAACTAACCTGTAAATAAGTCCAGCGTTGAGGTAAAGTAAAATGAAGAAAGGCGCAAGGATAGTGAAAATATTCCTGGAATTTGTATTAACATTTACGTCACAGTTAATAACGTCAGCTAAAGAGTAATGCGGCGAGTGTGATGAAGAACACGTATACCTGAAATAGAATCGCCATATTTTGTTGAACAGTACGTTTTCAATAACCAGATCCGATGGTTTCACTTCCCATTCGTTGAACATACCGATGCATTGCGGATTCGTTCTAATCTGAAGCGAGAAGCTATTAAAGGTGAAACGATAACGTTCTGGGAGCCATTAATTCCGCTTGTGATGCGCCCACCACCCGCTCGGCTTTCATTAAATGACGTGGTGACGTCCGAGTGGGTATTTGAATTATGCAATGTTTGCGGAGTCCAGACAAGTCTGGTAACGATTAATCGCTTCGGGAAAAAGGGACGATTGATCGCTTCGGGAAAAAGGAAAGGTTGTGTGGTCGAGATTTGATTTTTGGATCATGGGCATGGTAGCGGCGCACTAGCCACCATGTTATAGTCATCGACTTAGGCGGCGAGAGAAAGACCAATGAATCAGGAAGCATAAAGGCAACGAAGGCAAAAACTACCTTCCTGTACTGGCAAATCGCCTTAGTCGGGAGGATAATGGGATTTAAACGACAGTGATCAGGGCTACGCTGTCTTGCAAATCTCTGCCCATTACAGAGGGTAGACAGCAATCGTGTTTGGTGAGAAGACGTGACCATACTCCTCGCTCAACTTTATCGTCTCTCTGGTAAGATAACCAAGATTTGCGATATATGGTACGTACAGTCTAGATTGACGGTTACCCTTCATTACACTTTCTAGCGTATCTTTGATTTTCAAATCGTTCGATCAGATGTGCAGGAAGTTGGTTTACTCAGCTGTCAAGGACGTGACCTTGAAGTTGTATACTAATGATTGCTTCCAAACGTTGCAAAAGGATGAAAACTTCATTTTCACAGCAGAGCAGTCACGACTTTGTAAACTGAAACAAGTGGATAGCTACTTCGGATCGAGGTAGCTTGGATCTTTCCCTCTATCAAATTTCAATGATCGCGCATTTCATTTATACCGATGGATGTTGCTCTTGACTGCGACAGATATCCACGAGAAGCGTCAGGTAGGGTAATAGTGGAGGAGAGCAATAAGATAGTGTGAAAGTGTAGTCATGTTTGCGTCTGTTGTTGAAACGAAGTCTATCAAAGATGTTGAGCTATCAAAACCTACCGTAACTTCTTCAAGCATCGTGCCTTTACTAATCATACCAGCCATCACAGCGATAAAAGCGATCGTTTTCCGATGATGCTGTAGGAACGCCACCTTGTTGCTGTTCACCGTAATGCAGTACCTACAACAAACATACAAGTAAACAAAAAAATGAAAGATTAAAGGAGAAAAATTGAGTAAAAGGATCAGTTCAGAATAACCGCAGGACCTGATCCCGTTTAAGTGTTACCTTTCGATGGCGGCGAAGGTGATCAGGTAAGTGGAAGCGGTGATGCCAATATGAGATATAGTCAACATTGGAACCATGTAAGAGACCCTAAAAATATTCGTAAGTTTCACTAAACGTTACTATCTGCGGGATCTCTAAAAAGATCCCGGGCCTTCCAAGTTGAAACTACATTTGAACAGCTATAATATAAGCTATTGAGAAGGCGAGGGAAAGCGGTGTCTTGGAAGTGTAAGGGATAAGAGCACGGTCCCGGGAAAGGACAAGTTCGGGTTCAAGTCCCGTTCGAGACTGAAGTTCTGCCCATAAATCGCCAACCTTGTGCACTAATATAGGAGAATAGAAAAGAGAAAGGAGTCTTCCTGCGCGAGTGCTAAAAATTTCATTTTTACATCCTCAAAAAGCAAAGTATCATGTGTGGCATATGGTAAATGAGGGCATGCCTCGCAGCTAATACAACCAATGGTCTTTTCCTTTCACATTTTCATTCCTTTTTCCATTTCCATTTCTTTAAGCATTTCAGTAAATTCCATGGAAACAATACTTAATTGAACTCCTTTTTTGGACTCGAATTTCTTGAGAAAGAAGGTGGTTTCTTGAAAAAGTGGTCTTGTGGTCGTCGTAGTTCGTATGCCAACAGCATAGGTAGTGTACAACCAAATGACGCACCACCAGGCGCATGATCAGGGGATCGAATCCTGGGTCGATTCTAGCCCACGCTCATAGAACCTTCCACATTTCTGAGGTCGATCAGTTACTTATTTAACAGTTAGGATTCTCAGCCAAGTAGCGCCATTTTATGCATTTATGGAGTTGTGTGGAAACTTCAATGCTAACACGCTAAGGGAGAAAGGGAACGTTCTTTTGCTATACAGCATTAGGAGCCCCTATCAAGGAGCGCTGTAGTACACTAGAAGAAGAACTCCCTAATCGACCTAACCCTGACTTTAGAATGGGGGATCCACCTGATGGCTGGAAACCATTTATCTGGTAGTTTCCTGTACATACATATGATAATTACTTGGATATCTTTCCGAGCTTTGAAGCTTTGTGCCCACACCATCACCTGCATCCACTTGGAATTTCAGAGTTTGTTGTCGCAGCAACGAGCCCCTTGCTGTGAAACAACGCAACCAAGAAAAAGGGGATCTTGCTCCCCTTTTCTAGGGATGGGCCAAATTACTGAGTGAAGCGCATGGATGTCACGTTTTTAGACGCATATGTATCTCGCACGCAGTGATCACACGACGAGTTGCTAAAACGAGGGTCGTTCCACAATTAGATTCGAATAGCGCAGGCTCACCAACGACTGCATATGGCTCCGAGACGACCATAGAGCGTTGCGATAATTTTCGTTCAAGTTGTCGAAAAGGACTAACACTGCCATTCAAAAGTAACACTAACGATGTTAAAGATTTCGAATGTCGGCTGAGTGCAAATTGGGCTCGCTGATTCAGTGAATTCCCTTAAAGTTGATGGCGAAAAGCATTATATTCCCGGGAAGGCCTCAAATAATCTCACAGAACTGTCTCCACCTTAGACCTCATCTTCTAGGAACTGCGAGCGACAAACCAATCCACTCCCTTCATAGCGTTCGCTATAACCTACTGCACATGATACGCAGAGTTAATACGATCAAACCTAATATATGTAAAATAATGCTTATGCGATACCAATTTAGGACTTTTTTTCTGAAAAACGGCTAGCTTATAGCAAACGACGTTTTAAAATCTCGTTACCTCATGTCTAACATATTTATATAAGCCATCTCCACGGCATACAGACTTTTCGACAATTTTCAGCGGACAGAAAAAAATTTCCGCTCCGATTAAAGAGATGGCAGAATGAACCCATCCCAAACTCCATTGTGGACACCTCCGTCCATGCCCTTAGACCAAACTCCGAAGGAAAAGACAATTGATTCGACGTGATTAACTGTACTAGTGAGTGGAGCAAGGAGAGGTGTCCGAATATGTACCCTTGAAGACCCCTTTCCTCCGCAAAAGTGAGGATCAACGCTGTATCATTGAGGCCCAAGCTCTTCGCAATAGCACTCTTACCGATTTACTTCATCGTGTACCCATTTTACTTTGCACTAAATTTCGTACGATTTCATCAGAAACCAGTTCTACTCATAACGTCCGACGACTGCTACCATTTGTGCGCAGATGGCGAGTGAGTGCGACCACTGAAGGTTTACTGGATGGAAAATATTCTCAATGTTGTTGTGGGAAAAGAAGAAGTGTTGTCTGTCGACACGGAAATAGTGGTCATAGAACGTCTGTCGAGACATTGTAGGCTCTGTACACCATTTATTCGTACAACCAAAAAATTGATTCCTCACAAGAACATGGCTTAGAAGTCACCTTTGAAGGGGAAGAAGCCGTGACGGCTAAGATGTCCTCTACCCAATAGGGAAGTGAAAACTGTTCAAAATCCTTCAATAGGTCTTTTTTTGGACATCCTTCTTTATTATCGCATAGATATCTTCTTTATAATCCATAGGCTTCCCTTTGAAGTGAATATACGCTTTCCGTCGATAGTTTGGATGAAAGTTATGAGGGCAGAGGCGGGATATTTTGACAAAGGTTTCGCGGGATGAAGCGGAAGCGCAAAGTGAAGTCTCTGCATAGTCTTTTTCTCAAAGGAAATGAGAAGGTACCTCTTCGCCTGCATCAGTGTCTGAACCGAAACTTTGAAATTTCCCTGCACATTTTCAGAGTGCTCTCATGACTATACAAAACTCTGCAGTCGTTACCTCCAAAGGGAGAGAAGCGGTGCCGAGTAGGATGTCCTCTGCCCAATAAGGAAGTAAACACCGAAGTCACGTAATATTTCTCTTCGTCATTATTTTATTGAGCACAGCGACAGCTGGAAACCCTTTCACAGGTCTTATTTTTAAAGAGCCTTTTTGGTCACGCTATTGCATGGACTTCAATCAACAGTGGAACACGCTTTCCGTTTATAGCTTAGATGTTAGTCATTAGGACCGAGATGGGATAGGAAACGTGTTTTGGGTGATGAAGCTAAAATGTCTCTGCCACAAGCCCTACTGCCATAGGGAAGCGAAACATACCTCTTTGACGATTTGTGCTCTGCTCTGCTCTCATGACCATACTTACACAAGACTTGGCAGCGTTCAGTCGCAAAAAGTAGTTATGCTAACTAGAATGATGTTTGTCCTCTCTCTTGAACCTTGGAAAGGATGTTCAGCACTTGTGCCTGGAGTCTTCACCATTAATTTGTATGTATATTCCCCATTTCAGCTCTTTTACGCTTCTCGTTTAGACTATAAGGAATAAGTTGTTTGAGCTTTTCGCCCATCTTTTACTGGTCAAAGGCATCACTATCAAATGACGATCTCTCAAAACGTAGACCCTCTAAAAATAGGCCATTTTACTTTTGTAACGAAGCCTCGCGCTCATGTAATTTTCTCGAGCTCTCAACCTGAGAATCTGACGAAGCCAGGCTGATACTAGTGACTGGAGTTAATACCCACGTGGCAATGAAGAAAAAATGGAATTCGAGATTTTTCACTATTTGGGCTTTGCGTGCTAATGAAGATTAGACGAGAGCCTGTCGTACAAACAAATCCCTGTAATCCTCGGTCGATTGTGAAACAGACAAGACCTACAGCTTCGGCTATGCTATTTCCATTGCTATGAATATTACCTTCCCCTCTAGTGGTTCCTCAATTTTTCCATCGCTCCACAATTTAATGTTTCCTAGGCCTTGCCCGGCAACGGACTTGAAGGCGGAGGCGCTGAAGTCATGTGCTGAACGGCAGCACAAAATTATATCAAGTAACGAGAAAGTAAAAGCTAACAAGCGGCCTTCGTAGACTGCTTTTTTCCCATTATGATATTACTAGTCATTGATATTATGGTGGAGTCGGAAACCATTTATGAAGCTCTACTTCCCTGGGTATCAATTGCAAATGGCATAAACGAGTTCTGGTCAACTCACCATATTGCTTTAAGCTTGTAGCTAGCCGTCCAGTTGATTAGTACATTGTTCGATATCACAGCTATATACGATATTCCTATGAAGACGTCAAAGAGCGACAACAACAGTAGGTAGAGATTGTAGGAATTTCTGAAACGAAAAAGTTAATTATTGTGAAGATCAAAGCCTTCAAACCAACAAGAGGAGTGTTTCGTTTCCATCTACAGCACCCCTTTTTCATGGAACGTCAGAAGGAATCGGATCTAGAGGTCCATGAGCGCCCCTGTGCTCCGAAACCAGGTCTACGCATCTTTGGCATATTCTCCTTGTTGCAAATTGTCGTTTTTGGCAGTCATATCAATGAATATGGAAATTTATATTTGAAAGAACGGCATGGAAAGGAAGATAGGAGGCGGCTAATCGACATGTATTTATCTCCTCACGGTTGCAAAGAATGCCATGTCGATTATAAAGGTGAAGTGGACAACGGCCTATCCGCAATTTCCAGAAACTCCCCCTTTCAAAGATTGTGGCAAAACATATAAAAATATATTTGTCACAAACAAGTCGATCATTTGGCTGGCTTTGTCTAGTCTGTTCCCTCACAATAAAGATGTCAATTCATGGAAGTATGCAGCGGTGCACTTTTGATTTAATTTCGCCAAGTTTGTCTTCTTTCTCTTTTCCACTCAATGGAAGCAAACAAAAGCCCCTTTCTCGTTAGCACACTCGTAGGAAATTCGAGATCTAATCACCTCTCGACAGCTTAACAAATTAAAGTGTGCCATGGCCAAAAAGCGATGACAACCGCAAGCGCATTCGGCTTACTGTGCACATTTGCAGTTCCACCCAAAAATGTTGAACCCTCGGATTCGAGAGTGCTTTAAAGCCAAAGCCATCGAAATGTCGTATTATCATCTTTCCCACACACTTTCCGATGTTTCTCTTGAAAATTGGGAATGCATAAATTTACGTCACACAAATACTGAAGAGCGGAACGTGCCCTGAAGCGGGGATTCGTTCCCCGCCGTTCGTTTCCCCTGGGCTTTCACTAAGATAATCATCTGTGAATGCACAAATAACATGGAGCAGTCAAAATATTCAGTGGATGATTGAACAAAAAGCGCAACCAGAATGTTGCCCTTCTCCATACCTTGAACGATGGTTCAGACCGAAATTCAAGATTAAAGTAAAGTAAAGTATGAATCCACTATGCGTTGATCAATCCCGTCTGAGGGATCCACCCCGCAATCGACTTCCACTCAAAATCGTAGTGATGAATTGAATGCGCATGTGGCCCTTGAGGTGGCCAGCCGGAGTACAAGTCAGTGTTTTTATCTTTCTAGACAAATCTCATTCAACACAGTCGGTATCATTCAACCGACCCTGGAGGGATGGCTGGCCTGGTTGGCTATGGAGGATATAGATCCGAGATTTGAAGCCGTGACTATGCGTGTCTGATAGTGAGCCACTTGCCACTGCATAACCTTCGTCCATACACGACTTTTGCCCTAAATACTTCGAAAATCAAGATCAGCTCCCAAAATTGCCTACGTTCGGTACCATGCCATATCATCCTTACTTCTTTCTATCGGAAAAGCCTTAAATGTATTCCAATTCACCTTACTGTGGCCTCGACTCACCATTATCAAACCCACTTGTTATGAACACAAACCACGCAGTTACTGATCTGCTTCATCAAACGTTAGTGCTATCCCATACCTACACCTTTGCCTCAGGATGAGTGCTTTGAAAAAAGAAAACATTCCTCAAAACTCATTATCAGCAATAAGAAGTGAGGATTTTTGGAAAAGCAGCTAACGTGAGGATGCTCATTCGCTTTTTCTTCGAATTTTCATCTCCACTAGTGAAAACCACAGAAAGAATCTCTAGGCATCTTGTGAAGGAAAACTCAAATTGTACCTGTGCTGTTTGCTGGTGACGAAGACGACGAATATGAAGCTGTTGAAACAAATGCTGATGATGGAAAGAGCGACACCGAAGACGACAGCAAGAAAGAAGCGGGGAACGAGTAGGTACTCATCGGTGGCGTTGCAGGGGTTGTCCATCGCATCCTCAGCCAACGTCGACGAGGTGCTAGTGATGAGCACCGTCGACGAGTTGTCCATGGCAATTAGCAACGGGGTACGGCGGCTGAATGAAGTGCTGTGAACTATGAAAGAGTTCAATCACAAGCCATCAAAGCGAAAGGCATACATCCCAACTGGGTGTAGTACACTTTACTTAGAGGCGGAATCGAAGAAACAAAGGACTTTGAGTGCAATCACAGGTTATTCTCGTGGATCCAACAATGATGCGAGTAAAAAGCATACATAGAAAGCAATTTCAGGACAACAGACACAAAATCATTCAAGGGAGAACATCGAGATCACCTCGTCGTAATAATTATGGCTATCGCAATAGTTGAATGGTTGTGAGAAGTAGTTCTTTTGTTCGCACCCCGAACTGTAGTCACCCATTAAAATTCCACGGCGACCTGATAAGCGGTGAGCGCCACTTTTGAGCTGTGAAAAAAGATTCTTCAGGGAACTTTTTGATTTGAAATTTGATTAATTTGCCATACATTTCTCAAAGAAGGTTAAGAGAGTGAAAGTCTTCAAATGACGTGCTACTAGAAATCGCATGAGTGCAAATGGATGATGAAGAGCTCCTCAAACAGGGAACATTGCTTATATCTTTTGTTAGTTGGGGAGAAGAGAAGAACATATCCAAAAGAGAAACCAGGTGATGAATGATACATGACGTCTCCAGGGCGAAGGTTGCTAGAAGAAACGTACATGATTAAGGGCCTCCGCTCAAAGTCCCACCTCTAAATGGACGCGTTGACGTAGCAACGATCTTGAGTAAAGTACGAGAAGTAATACAGGTATGAGACGGTATTACGCGTTCAGACAAGTTCTTACCTGCTCCCATCTACTCATATCCCGTTGTGAACGCCTGTGATTGCAAGTGGGAAATAGGCACTGCAACAATGTGCAAGTTAAAACAGGCGATATCGCCGGATGTGAGTTAGTGTGGACAAGCGAAAACTTCATCCACATTCACCAACAACTCGTCCACCTTCTACTAACTGTGCATTACTCAGAATCAGCTTCAAAAAAAGGACGTAATCTCGAAGATCGCGGCGAATTCCAATGGAACGTTTTTTAGTGCCATTGGATCGCCTCCTATCTTCTTTTATTTTTGTCCGCCAACAATAAGCTTTCGAAGGAGATACTAAGAGAACGTATTTCGAAGAGGCAGGGAGTAAATAAGTCGACAACAATGAGAAATGACTTTGAAGAAAGAGCAACGAACCACTCTGAGCACCTTCTCCCACTCAACTTGCCCCTATTAGATTGAGTACTCAATCGGGTGGTGTTAGAAGAAGGAATAAAAGATAAAGATTTTTACAATGATCACTTCTGTTTCGTAGGGGGGTGGGGAGACTAATATATTCGTTTCCATTTACTACAAGAAGTTCAAATGCTTACTTGGTCACTATAATGGCTTAAGGCTGTCAGGCGTCTGTTAGCAGTCAGCGGTGAAGTGTCAATGTTTTCCTGTTCCTAGACCTCTTGGCTACTGATTTTGGAAGTCCTAGGCACCTAGGCGGACCCTCTCCGAGATTTGTTCCCGATCACAACGGTGGAAGCGACAAAAGTTGGCAACACCATCCACCACACATCACTCCCGCATTACAATCGTTTAGAATGTCCAGGGTTTGAAAGCTACTACTACTACTGGGCTTTATGTATGCTTGCATTGGCAACCTGGCCAACTCACTGCTGGAAGGAAACGGTTTTATCAAAAAAAAAAACGTGCGGACATTTTGCACCGATCCAAAAATGAGAGAAGTATGACTCGCAAGCACACGGGGCTGTTGCCGTATATGAGGTTGGCCTTCCCGCAGAGACTTTGAATGAAGACGTACCGCAGCTGACACTGGTTAGTTGGTACTATCACTTGCTGGGTGGGTTTGAAGAATTCACAGAGTTACGGTGAATGGTCCTCCCTTCAACCAGCTGCGTGCTCTGGGGGTCTTGAACTTTAGTGGGACAATGAAGACGTTTGATCGGACAGTCACAGATCGTTACGATCCTTTCAGGCTCTGTAGAAAGCGACTCCGCCAAAAAGTCAGCCTAACAAAGCTTACATACAAACCTCGTGAACAGTTCGAGAAAACAAGAAACTCAGTGGTACTCGAATCTGTTCAAGAGTCGGCATTAAGTGAATAAGGAAATGATGGCAGAGCATCGATGAGAATGATGTCAGCCTAGTTAGAACCCACTGAACTGAGTGTGAAGAGTGCGATTGAAGCGAATTTTCACGAGTACATCTGTACTAGTACAAAAGAGCAGTGGTTTGTTCTATGCACACAAGCATGCTCAAATGAGGCAATCATTCTCTTAAGTGCAAAATCAGAAAAAAAGATAGATGGAACCGGATAAATTTGCGTAACAGCATGCGCTACAAATTGAATATTGTTTGGGAAGGAGAGGCCACTGAAGTCATAAAGTATTATTGTTTCAAACACACGTTCAAAAGCATGTTTTTACACCACAATTTGCTGGAATGAAATGATAAACATTTGGTGCACAAGAGATAAACTGAATGCGAAGGCTATTTCTTAGATATATTTGCTGTAATTGAGCAGACTCAGTTCACTTTTTGTAGTTGGAACGTTCTACCAAAGTATCAGATGCTTGATTTTCGTACTGCAGCAAATCTTCCTTGCACATTACAATGTATAAAAACCATCCATAACATTTTCCTATGTTATTTTGAGAACATGAGGATATCTAATTTCACTTATATTGGATTACTCACAAACTGAACTTTTATATGCTATGTATACTGGAACACCATAACCGAAAAAGACGTCACCGAAGATGCTGGTCCCGAGACAAACGTGCAACCGGACTGCCCATTGAAAAGAAGTAGAGAAAAAAGCGTTGTTTGGATGGTTCTTCGGTTTGAGCTTCATCGGACTATTAGGGCTCAAAGAAACAAGAAGGAAACGTTTTAGGATAAAATCTTGGAGCATCTAACAATCCCGCTAGATGGGTGCTCCCACGCATTCGACTTCCATTCACAATCGTTGTAGCGTATTGAATGAGTATAGTCCTATAAAATAACTTGCGGTGGCCAGCCAATGTACAAGTCAGTGCTTTTATCCTCCCAGAGGAGTCTGATCCCAAATGGCCGACCCGGGAAGAAAGGAAGGCTTGGCTGGCCTAGGCGGATACGACGGAACTAGAAAAAAAAAGGAGAAAGACTTGATAACAGTAATTTTTGCCCTCTTTGAACTTCCTCTAAAATTTGGAATGGTGCTTGATCGACCAGTTTCTTGAACGGCTTTTGTCTTTTCAAGCCTCGATTAAGGCGAAAGCAGTGAAACGCAAGCCGAATGAGTTGTTGTTGAAGTCTCAGTTGCTCAGCTCAGGAAGTAAAAATCGCAACTGGAAGGAACAAGCAAATGCTCTAGAAGACATTAGGCTGAATAAGTTGTTTCTCTGCTATGCATGAGACAATTAGAAGTCTATTTTGTGAAATCCAACTGGGAGTCCAGTGCTTGCGTTTCTCAAAGTAGTGTCCAAGTGTGACTGTAGATAAATCTCAGCATTGTTCCTCTAGTTTTACTTTTTCAATCTGTAGAAACGAAATTGCAACAAACTTTATTAGGCTGATATTTCGGTGCCTTCACCTCCCTCGAAGCCTGGAAAGACAAAAAGCATTTGAGAAGCCATTCGATCGAGCACTATTCCAATCTACAGAGAAAGTTCAAAGGGCGTGGATTAGGAAGTTGGAAGTGGTTAATTAACCTTAGAGACAGTCCACCTCCGATCACCCTAAGCTGAAGCTGGTATGGCTGCGATTTAAATAGGGTGAGCCTCGGGTCAACTTGCTTAAGGGACCTCTAAAGAGCTGATCATGTGGAGGATCGCTTGTTTTTCCTTTCCTGCCGCACGACACCAAACTTGCACAGCTTTCTCAATAAACGCAAATGCGAAAGAAGACGCCGTCGGGAGCGCCATATTCGGGAGATATCCAGGAACCGTGGCGGATCGATTCACTTATGTAAAGAAAGGTGAAGATGGCGAGTTCAAAATAGTTCATAGTACAAGCTGAGAATCATTTCCACCTCCGCTTTTGGACCCTTCATGAGCATAGGGTGATATCACGTATATGAATGTGTTCGAGAGGATATGATGAAGGAATGTGCGACAAGCTGTCAGTTGCTGAAGCCAGCGATCGTGAAGGGGAAATAAGCGAACGACATGGATGTGTAAGCGTCTGATAGGAGGTTGGGTTTATGGTAATACGCGAAAGTATGTCGGGATGAGAAAGTATTGTATAGTCGAAAGTAAAATTAAGCATTAATTCAATTCGAGGAAGTTACTGGTGATTATGCCGTGGCTGATTCTGACATGTCGACGGATATTGACTCTTCGTGAACGGGAAATTTCCATGAGATGGAAAGACACAAAAAATGAAAAATTTCAGGCGTCTAGAAGCAAGATAGTACATTATTTGAACTCCCAGTCCCTCCTAGCCCTATTTTTAAAGAAGCTAAAATTAAACAAATTCGTCTTATGAACTTCGTGAGGTTCTGTCTGAGCAACGACATCAGCCTTCATTAGTCCTCTTCTCTACAACTTCTTGAATAGACCGGAGAAAGGACCCTCATCAAGGAAGTAGGCCATTCCAAGTAATCAGCGGCATGCTTCTGGTGGGCTCCCTGTGCAAAACAAAACTGAAGTGAAACAAAAACAGCATAAGTGTGTAAATAAAAGGGGCTGAAACGCATGAATGAATAGGACTCTCGAATGGTTGTTTGAAAAGGGTGACAAACGCGACTGATTGGAAAGCCGTAGAGGAAGTAGCGGAGAAGCGCAACAAGAGAACCCAATACCCGCTCGATAGGAGGGGTAGGCATGGGTGCGATGACGATATGTGGTGCCTTGTAAGGGATCAGTTCCTAAGTAGTACTCACCTAATTTGCTGCTCAAAAGGGTTCAGTGACCGATTGGTACGAGATGTCCTCTGTTGGCACTGCATTTTTCTCCAGCCGGCAGATAATTGGCTATATGGACTTTAGAGACTACTTTGTGACACTTTGGCAAGTCTGTTACCAGGTTTTCTCCAAATT